TTTTTTTTTTTGTTACATTCCACAGAGTACTTCAGGCTAAAGACTCAAGTTAAACTCAGTTATTATGGTAGAGCTGGAACACTTTACTGTTTAAATGCTAATAATGCACCAGTACCTCAATTCAACTGCTGCAAATAAATGTCAAAAGGTTGAATAATAAATATTAGAATGAGCCATTAAATTTATGCACTAGATTTCGAAAATGGAAGTCTAACTGTTAATTCAGTTAAAGTTTGTTAAGTTCTATGGTTGCACAGTAAGGGTTCACGATAATTCAATGTGGCAGCAGCCTACTTTTTGGGAGCTTTGTTTTCGGGTGCAGGGGTGTCTTTTTCCAAGAGCAGTTGCACTTACTCTTTTTTCTCTCGTTGGGAAAGGCTGGGGTCTGCCTGCGAGCCCAGCGCTGGGAAAAGCTGCCTCCTCTGAAACCAGTAAATAAATGTGGAATTCTATTTTGGGTAAAAGGGTGTCTTTTTACTTGTACAGCCACTCTTTGCTATTGGGAAGCCTTTTTGTTTCACCCAGAGGTCTTAAATAAGGTTACTGTTACCCACTAATGTCATGCTTAGGTTGTGGTCTGAACATGCTCCTTACAAACTTGCAAAGCAACTAAAATATTTGCCCTGCTCGCAGTACAATTTATGGGCCAGCCCCTCACGCCGGCTGGAGGAAATAGCGAAGCAGTAAATAAAACACAGAAAGTGAAATGAGAGGCCGTGAGTGGAGAGAATACCCAAAATGAGAAGACCATGTTACTCATAGCTTTTTTGGCACCAAAACTCAGGCGTTTCAACCGTGTTACACTTCCCGGTTCTACCCTCATCTCTTGAAATTTGTGGTCGTGGGGTGGTTTTTTTGCCATGCCATCCTCCCGATGGAGCAGAAACGTTTCTACTGCACGTGACAATCAGAGGCAATTCTCTATATTTGCACTTAATATCGAAATAGTCGAACAGGCTGACTTCTAGAGTCTGGCCCTCGGTAAGACATGCTGGTATAATATATTGTGATGATGGAAGCAGTAAATCAAAATTATGGAAATTTGCACTGTTGAAAAGCATGCTTTAGCTTTATTTTCAATTAAAAACACTGTTTAAAAAAAAATAACCCTGATTCCATACACTTTGAATTATTGCAGAGTTATCCGTGGTTTCCTCTCTGCTTGTAAGTTCTCTGTTTTTATTTGGAGGAAATACGCTTCAAGAGGTTAACTGTTTCCCTCCCTCCCCCCCCCCCCCCCCCCCCCCCGCAACCTCCCCTTCCAACGCCACGAAAAGAAAGGGAAGGGGAATTTAAAAAGAGAGAGAGGGAGAGAGAGCAAGCTGGAGGCCGAGGTGGAGGCCGAGCTGAACACGGGGGAAGGTCTCTGGAGGGGGGAGTCTGGGTACACCAACTCGGAAAAGAGCCTGCAAAGTTTGCAGCTTGAGAAAGGCAGTTATAATTGAGTTGCTGAATCAGCAGAGTTTAGGATGAATAATTGCTGGTTTCTTTCTTTGGATTAGCATTTTATTTATACTAGATCATTCCCAAATTAAATTTTAAGGATTCCACTCATCGATCAATCCCGGGAGAATAATTTATCGTAAATCAAAAAAAGGAAAACAAAGCAACAATGTAATGTTTACTGTGTGACTCAAAGTCAACATTTCTGCTGGCAATCTGCTGCCCGGGTTTCAATTTTTTAATTCCTGCCTTTTGTGATGCCCTCTCCCAACCCTTCATGTCTCTAAATATTCCAGGCAGTCACTAACTGATTTCAGCTCTGTTTACTATAGCCACACCGGAGTTTTCCTCCCATTGTAAAAGGCCTAGTCTAAGAATACCTGCAGCCAAATATATTTAGAAAGAGTAAACAATTGCCTTTCAGTGGAGTTACCCTTCCCCCCTGCATGCACACATCCCCACACGCGCGCACACACATCACTTCCAACTGCCAATTGCAAAAGGTGCACTGCATACTTAAGCGCGCTGCTGAAATCACGACGGTCATGAAAAATCTGCTTACTAGAGTTGTTCTGAGATCAATGTTTACATTCGTGTGTTTAGAGCTGCACAGATTACAGCCTTATTTCCCCACAACTGTAAATATGTACAAGACGTACTGCTCAGGAAAGGCCCCCGCTCAGTTAGAAAGCCGTGTCTGCTCGACAAAGGTCTTCCCTTCATCAAAACAGAAAGAAAGGAAAAAAAACCAAACAAACAAAAAAGGTAAAAAAAAAAAAAAAGGCAAAAAAAAAAAAAAAAGGCAAGCCCAAAAGCTACAAAGGTCCAATATGCAAACTTGAAACCTAAAATTTCTCCTTGTCAATTAAACAACATATCGCTTTCAAAGTAACTCTGTCCCCTGACCCTGTTTACTTCCAATTAGAGATATGCTGATTTGGCCAGGAACTGTAAATTACAGAGGTGCCTTTTCAGGTTCCCGAAGTAATCCGGGGGGGGTGGGGGGGGTGGGGGGAGAGAAGGGGGAGGAATAAGCATAAATTTATACCAAATAGGCTCTGCAGAATTGAGGATGTGAAATATGGCGCGCCTGGCCCTGCTACGGCCTGGGACCTGCAGGCCCAGGTCCAGCACCCACCAGGCAGCTCCCTGGGCTCTCCTCAGCACGGGCAGGCAACAGTAGAAGGCACAGAGTTAAAGAGCCAAATAATCTTCACACGTGTACACCTCAGTTTAGTGCAAGCCACTAACAAGGACACTCGTGTTTTTACTACCACTGGAGAAATTAGCCAGGTACAATAACTCACTGGCAGAAGAGAAAAAGGCGTGTGTGTGTGTGTGTGTGTGTGTGTGTGGTGTTCCTTCCAATATTATGTCCATAATTCTGGTAGTTTGGTAAATGTTTCTGATGGTGCTGTAATTATTACTGTGAGGAGAGTTCATTACAATTTCAGCCTCCATTATATAAAGTCATATCATTGAGTTATATAAAAATGACCCATTTTCCCCCATAAAGGTAAGTTCTAATAATGAGGAAAACCAAAAGTTTTTCAAGTGAGCCAGCTTACCAGTTTGTTGCAATGTTTACACGAGGTAAACCTTAAAATGTATTAGTACTGGATCACCACCATTTTCCAATTCCTGGTGTACACAAAAGTGAACAGAATTTTCCAGAGGAAAAAGCAATGGAGGGAAGCACGCATATTTTACAGACTACGCTCCATAGGTATCTGCCATACGCAGAGTTCACCAGTAAGTTTATTGGGAAGATATCTGCTGCCAGATGGAAGACAAAAGAAAATTTTGGACTATGTCTAATTCTCTAGAGCATTAAAAAGAACACGTGTAATGCCTTCAGCCACGAGCTATACTGCCTTAAAAGATGTAACTTGCCGTTTACAACAATTTACTTTAAGAAGTGATTGTTCTATAACCTACACTTACTTGACTACAGTGGGATAATATCTTTACTGGTTGTTTATTTTAAACACCACTACTAGTAATAATGCGAAATAGTGGTAACTGTTGTATGAAGTTTGCTGTTCAATCAGTTCACACGGTGACTTTTTTTTTTTACGTGGTCTCTGATCCTTTTTCCTCTAACAGATTTAGTTGCCAATAAATTAAAGTTTCTGCAGAAATGAGAGCAATGTGATCATGTCTGCGTTTGTCACCATTCACACGTGCGAGGGGTTGAGGCAGAAAGGGCCACAAAAAGTGGTATTTTCCACACACGGCGGTGATCTGCAGGAAAATATTCTACATATGCAGCATGTCAGAGAACATGAAACATGGGTAACCTCGTTAATTGTGTTTTTTTATGGTTAAGAGGACTGCTGGAAAGTGTATGCAATGGCTCATCCTGAGATCTATTTGGTCAGCTTGGAAGTACAAAAGGAAGGCGAGCTCCTGAAAGCGAAAAGCCCTCGCTAGCAAAACAAGGAGGGAGGCTTTGGGATCTAGCTAGCCAAAGTCAGGCGTGCAGGCACTCCCCATTCCCCCAGTATTCAGCCCTGCAATCGCGGGGCTCCCGCCGCCGCGGGGTGGGTGCTGGGCCGCGGCCTGCCCTGGAGCCCTTGGGGAAAGACGGCTACCCGGCTTTAGGCCCATCCACGTTGCATTTCTTCACTGCGCTGATATAATTATTTGCCGTGCCCTAAGCCCCTCTCTCTCCCCCTCTCCCTTTCACGCCGAGGCGGCCTCACAAGCCCCCGCTTTAAAAGGCCCGAGATGTTTTGCATGAAGCGCTCACAATAGGGGTTGAGAGAATTGACAGTTTCAAAAACAAGGCGCCCTGTCCTTTCCAGATGCCGAGGACCCCTCTCCCGCACCATCCCTCGTTTGCTCCTCGCCGCTGGTGGCTTTATCCTTAGCATTGCAAATATACGGCAACAGCTGTGTTTGTAAACAGGGGAGAGGTCGGCAGGAGCCCCGCCGCCGGCCCTGCTCCGCGCTGCGCGCTGTCTCCGCTGGCTGCCGCTTCGCTGCCTCACCGGCCACCGCCGGTGCATCAGCGGGGAGAAAAATGAGGAAAGAGAGGCGAAAAAACATGAAGGGAGTGAAGCCGGGACGCGGGAGGAGCGCGGTCCTCGAACGGCGGGCCTGCTCGGCGGTGGGGCGGCCCCTGCACGGCGGGCCCGGGGGACAGCGCGCCTCGGGCCGCCATCTTGCCCAGCGCCACACAGCCGCCCCCTGGCACCGTGGCCCGGCTTTCCCGGTCCCGCAGCGGCTCACCGGGGCACGGCGGGCATGGCGTGGCAGCCTGCGGGACCCCCGGGGGCTCCCGCACTTCAAAGCGGCCTCTCGGAGGGGCCGCGGCTCCCACCCGTCTCCCACCTCCTGCCCCTCAGCTGGGGCGTCCATCTTCCAGGCTCTCCTGTGGCGCGGCCCAGGGCCCGCAGGCTCCTGACCTGATCTCTCCGTGCGTGGGGGATCGCGGCCGGAGAGAACCCACAGTGGGGGAAGCCCGGGGTACTTCCGCGGCCCCCCCGGGGCAGCTGCCGGGCAAGAGGCCGGCGCTGGCAGCGCCAGGCTCCGGGGGGCAGGCAGCCCAAGGAGCCACCGGCCGAGCCCGGCGACGGGGGAGGCCTCGGGGCCGTGGTGAAGGCCTTGGGGTCTCGGCGGAGGCCGTGCGCCCGCTGCCCCCGCGGAGCCGGCCCGGGGAAGGGACAGTGAGCGAGGTCAGCTCAGAAAGTGCAACAGGGCTGTTTGCTCTTGCGTCTAAAATGCAGTCAGGGCTGTAAAGCGTGTGAAATTACGCACTGGTCTCTTAAAGAGTGGCTAATTTATAGTAAATAGCGAGGGCTTTGTAAATGGCTTTATTATGTTGTTTCTTGTTAATTGTTGAGAAAATCCCCATTGTTGAGTGTGAATGGCTTTATGGGCTAACCCGGTCTCTGCTGCAATCCAGGGGCAGTAAATGGCCGCTCCGCTAATGTGGCCCGTAGCGAGAACCCGGCACCAGCACGGTGACCTCTGGGCGGTGGCGCCGGGTGCGCGGAGGGGGCGGGCCGCGCTAACATGGACGCCCCCCAGGCAGCGAGGAAGCGCTGGGTCCCCGGCACGGCGGTGATCCCGTTCTCCCGGCCTGGCCGCCCGGGAAGCATTGGCGCGGAGCGGGCCCGGCCGACTCTCCCGGCGCAGGGCCGGGCCTGTCGTGGCCCAGCACACGTGCAGGGGCCGCTCCCCCCTTTTGTTAACGGCCTCGGTGGCCCGGGGTGCTCTGCCCTGCCGAGGAGCACGTTTGCCGGGCGAGGGGGGCGGGGGGCGTCTCGGCAGCGCCGCGCTCCAGCACGGCACTCTGCCTCGCTCTCCTCCGTCTCCCTTAGACAAATAAACAGGAGCCAGCACCTCCAGCCCCTTCCCGGAGGGAGCTTCGGGGATTTGGGGTGCTGCAGTGAACTTCGCCAAACTCCACATCCCGGCCCCCGAGGTGGGCGCTGGGGGGGGGGGGGGGCACGCTGCTGCTCCCGTTGGTCAGAGGACCTGGGGACGCGGGGTCTCCCCCGCCGCTGGAACGTAAACGCCGTTTCACCGAAACGCCTTCCGAGCGCACGTGCCTGCATATTATAAAATACAAATCGCGATGAAATGTAAATTCCACTCTAGAAACTTATATTGGGCTATTCTCTTTCCTGAAATTTTTCCCTCTCTGATTTCGCTATTAGGAGAAATCCCCCAGGGTTTAAAGCACTTGTTTCACGGATTTCTGCACAGCCCACATCTGTCGGCTTCCCCTCCGCGGCTCGCCCCTTCGGCAGGCGGGGAACGCAGCGGCTCTCCAGGCGGGGACGGGCGCGGAGAGGCCGCTGCAGCCCCGGCGCTGCACCTCGGAGCGCAGCGATTTTCCTACCCGCCTTTCAGGATTGAATTGCAAACGTGTCAGATGCACGGTTGCCGCTTCCCCGGGACTTGGGCTGGTAGCGCTTTTCCAGGCTGATTAGTAGTGTCGGAGCAGCGAGATAGGGCTGTACAGTCCATTTCCCTCAAAACAGGATGTTTCCATCAGCCTGCATTTGGTTTTCCCCAAAGAGCAGCAGAGAGTTTAGCTGGGAAACAGGTCCTGGCTAAACCCCCTCCTTCAGCGGCCACTCGGGTACATCACATCTTAGGTTTATATTTCATCCTGTCATTCCCCTTTCTCGGGGAAAAAAAAATAAACTAGCAAACAAGCAGCGCCGCCGAGAAGCCGGTGCTGGTGGCGAAGCGCGGGGCTCCTGCGGCAGGGCCGGAGCACGGCTCAGCCCGGGGACGCCTTCCCCGGCCTCCGTGGTGTTTGTCGGGGCTTGTTGTTGCTCCCGCAGCAAAACCTCTGCTCTCCCGGACCACCTCGCGGCCGAGCAGCGCCTGGGCTGGGGTTTCCAGGGGCTTTGTGCCTTCGTGGAGATGCATGTGAATGGGGCGGCGAGTGCTAAAGCTGCCACATAACCTGTGTGAACATATGTTTTGTATTTACCAGCGATGCTTTTGTATTCCTTGGGATTCAGGGGTAAACTGCGGAGACAATAGCAAACCCAGAAATATTATCAAATAAACTGCATGGAAAAGTAATAGTAATAATAATAACTATATATATATATTTAAAAATAAAAAGGGGTTGCTCGCATTTGGAAATTCCTATTTCCACTTTGGTGGACGTGATAGTTTGCACGAGGGTAAATAGTGATAACGTGCTATTCTGTGTACAGTTTTCTAGAAGATTTGAAAAACTTTACTGTGTCTGCTGCGGATGTTTGAAGTAGCATGTTATAACCAAGAGAAGGATTTTCAGGTTGTTTCCCGCTATGACATAATCGTCCCCGTCAAAATCTGCCGAAGTTCGCCGGAGGGAAAAAGATGTTCATGCTAAATGATGTGGGAGAAGAAAAGAGAGAATGGCGTTTAATGCGCGCTATAAAATAATGTCAGATCTCCCCGACTGTGATCTCGCAGGCTCTCTTACATTTTAGGGGAAGTTTATAAATGGTTACCTGGGGTTTACAAATTTTGCCAGTAAAATCTCATTAATTCCATTATGATTTCGGTATCCTTCTCCCGTAAAGGGGCCTGTAAAATGCAGTAATTCCACACAAGCCCTGCCATTCATCAAGTCCGGGAACATTTGTATTTCCCTATCTCGCTGCGTAGAGGCCGATAAATAGAAAGGCTCTCCAGATAATCGCTGCTATCTCCTGTCTTCCACGCAGAGCACTTGGTGGTGTTTGTTCCGCCCCGGAGAACCGAGCTTCTTAAAGAGGCTTGGAGGGGGGTCAGCTTTTTAAAACACACCTGAAAGCTGGTAAGCTTTATACGTGTTTGCATTGCTCGTGGGGGGAAAAGGAGGATACCCGGCAGTAATTCCTCATCAGCGGACTTAAAAGTGGTTGCTGCCTTCCCCGAGACCTTTCTGCCTCTCTCCTTTCCTCTTCCCACACCCATCCCCTCGGTAAACGGCTGCGCCGAGGGTCCCAGCGAAGGCTGCGGGCCGGAGCACGGAGCCCAGCTCCCCTCGTGCCGTGCTGCCGTTCTTCCTACCGTTTTGCGCCGGAGACTGATGACATCGGCTTTAGGGAAAAGCTCTGGAGGGTAACGGAGAGTTCACCAACTCCCAGCCCCGCACACTGCGAGGTCGGTTTTGCCGCGGCTTTGACCTCACCAAACCTACAAACCCAATTTGCCTCCCGCGCAACATCCACTGCTAGTCTCTGGTTTAGCAAAGTCGATGGTCTGATCCTTTAGAAAGACGAACTACATGAACATCAGATAGTTTGTATTAGAATCAAGCACAGTGACAATTGCACAGAGCTGGTTTTAATTTTACTCTAAAGTGTTTACACATCGACATATGGTACATTTGTCTTCGCTGAGAAAGTTAAGTCGATAGCGTTAATAGCTTTGCATAGACATGATAGAGATTAACATTTCTGCATCTCTACCAGCCTAAGGTCCCCATGCTTGGGTACTGAAGGAAAAAGGGGCTCACACTGAAGAAGAGCTGTCTCTGCCCGCAGAGGTGCTTAGAGGCACCGCCGAGCTCGGCAGGTCTGACCCTCTCTCTGCTCAGGGCTGTGAAGAGTCAGCAGTGCCCTTACTCTGGTTTTACCTTAGTTCTGCAAAGCTTCTGCTCAGCAGTACCTACAAAGCTCACGCCTGAGAAAACAACCGGCTTCTGCCCGGGGAAGAGCTGCTCTATGATAAAAGCCTGGAGCCCGTTTCCCCCGGTCTCCGACTGGGAAGACAGCGTTTGCCAGGAGCCTCCCTCGCTCCCAGGGAAGCAGGAAAAGCAAAGCCACCGCTCCCCGGCTCACACTTTCTGCCAAGGTGCTGCAGGTCCTTTAGCTTGCTCCTTGGTTTTCCCAAAGGATGTCCAGCGACATCCAGCCTTAGCAAGACAGGGTGGCAAGACCTCGGTTGTGCCGGGACATTTTCTAGTATCGAGGATATGCTCCCAAAGAGGTAATAAACCCGCGAATTTATGTATATTTACAGGCACACACCAATATGTAGGAGTCATCGACTTTTGCAAACGCAGCTAATGCAGCATTTTCCCCCAACATGGAAGAACTATTATTTTCAATTTTCAGGTGTTGCTTTGGGAAGATCATGAAATCACGTAGGAGCTCGAAGCCTAACCCGATCCACAGATGGCCGCGCACGTCTCTAAGTCAAACAGGTCAAATAATTTTTAAAGACGCATTTACTAAGGAAGAAAAAAAAAAAAGGAAAAGGCATCTAAGCTGGAAACCTGTGGGGGCATAACAAAAGGGAAGAGGCCAGAAAGAAATATCCCACAGTGGATTACAAGGTTATGGGACAGGTCACTATAGGAAAGTTAAACAAAAAATGAAGGGTACATTATATAAACCTCACATAATTAAAAATAGTTAGTCCCAATGTTGTCGTTAGACCCTCAGGTATTTGTGGAAGTTGTTGATCAAGTGCCTGTGAATTTATTGTGAGTTTATTCTATTAAGATACTTCTATTTAGCTGGCGTTTGTTTTTTAACATAATTAGGAAACTGACCGCAGCCTTTAATGACTGTGTGTTTAATGAAGACTATAATTATTTTACACTGCAGACAAATGTACAGAACGAGCTATTAGAGGAGGGGACGTAGTCAGACAAGAAATAACCCCAGCCTTACAGAGAGAGGGCTCTAAGACAGTAATATATTAAATATTGCAGCGATCGATTTCAATATCCTGAGTGGACACGGGAATAAAAATCCACCCCCAAGATGAAATGATTGGGAATTCTTTGTTGGGAGGGGAAAAAAAATGCGTTTTTCTTTTCTTTTTTTTTTTTTTTTTTCAGATCCTTTTTGTTCAGGTTAGAAGAGGGCCCGGCCAGCATCTTTCATGCCCCGGGGTCCCGGTTTGGGCTATAACCCTAAAGGTTACTCGCATCTCAATGGCGTTTCTCCTTGCTAAAAAGATGGGTCTTTGTCCGAAGAGAGCCGGATTAAATATCAAGCCCAGCTCCGGTGCGCGGGACGAGGGCAGCCCCCGGCAGCGGCCCCACCGAGTGGCAGCTCACCGGGGCGCCGCGCGGGGGGCGCCGGGCGACTCCCGTAGCCAGGACCCCGGTACCGGGCAGAAGAGCTGGGTTTTGCTTTCGTCGCTGGGGTCGGGGGGGGGGGGGGGGGGGCGGCGACGGGAGCGCGCCCCGGTGCCGACACTTGGGAAAATAAGAGGGGGGGAGGTGAAATGGCACCGGGCTGCCGTTTGCCCCAGCCATTCTCTTCCCGTCTTTCCCCGCACATCGCCCCCGCCCCCCCGACACTGCCCTTCTCGGTTTTAAATAATAATTAAAAGTCGGAATGAAAATTAAAGGGGGGCAGAGGACGGGCGAAGCCGTTCCGCGCCCCCGCGGGAGCCCGCCTGGGCTCTGGGGATACGGGCAAAGGCAGCCAGGCGGCATGCATGGCTGCGGGGCCGGGGTTCCCCTGCACCCTCCGGGCCACGTCTGTCCTCTTCTTTCTCCTCCTCCTCGTCCTCGGGGTATCCGGGCAGCACAAGGCTATCAGCAGTAGTCGGGGCTGAGGTTTGGCCAGGCAGCGGTCGGGGCTGGAGTTTGCTCTGCTCCCGCTCGGCTGCAGGGGAGAGGAATTACAACCCAGAAACTGTGAACCTGTTGACTGCCACATCCTGCGGGAAAGGGCCGGTAGTCTTTTACATTCCCAAACCTATGAAGTGGGGATGCCATTGCTGGGCCCCTGGATTCACCTGTCACTGCAATCACTGCCCCCGAGCACTGACAAATATTCACAATAAAAGAGTGAAAGGGTCTCTTAAGGTTCACTGATTTGTGTGTAGAACTTTGGGAAACTGCAAACAAGCGAGAAAAATTGTCCATTCTTGTGAAGGGAAATACAAGTTTGCACTTAACCGTTCAGCGACAAAACCCACGGACCGGCCAAAGAGCCGGGCACATCCACTATAATCTCCATAACAATTTCATTTCCTCTCTTCCCTCTCTCCCTCTTTACTGGTTAGCAAAGGGGAAAATCTAAGGGTTTAATCCCGAGGAAGGCTTTCCATTTATTCCCGCTGCAGGGAGAAGGGGATATTGAGAAAAGCCAACAGATCGCGGACAAAATGGAGAAGGAAGCCGGCGGGCTCTGCTCTGGGAGAGGGGCTGGGAGCATCCAGGCAGAGGACACATGCTACTCGGGGTGAAATAGAAACTGCCGCTATTAAATTTCCTTTTAAGTGTGCCTTTGGATTAGTTGTACACGGAATCCAGTAATTAAGGCCCTTCTCTTTAGAGAAAACCTTTTCGGTTTCGTATTCCAGCGTCGGGCGTGATTGCTGCGTGCTCGAGAGAAAAAAACATAAAGGACGAGTATTTTTCTTTGAGCGCAAAAAGTTGCTGCCACAGAAGTGGTTTCTACTAAAGACGACGTTAAATTGTAGGGTATTAGCAATAATCACCGAGGGATCTGTTTTATACCGTCTCAGGCCTCAGAATCTGCTGTTCCCGTCTTGCTGGGACTGGGGAAAGGCGCTTCCCGATTAAATTCTGCATTAATAGAACTTGGCAACCGGCAACAAAAACCTTGCTTAAGTGAAATGAAGAGACAAAAGGCACTTTAAATGCTGAGGCTGGGGAGCTTATGCCCCAGTTTTAAATGAAGACGACGTTCATGCCTCGCAGCCAGCCCTGAGCCCGGGCTCGGCCAGGGTGAGGATAGCACCGTTCCCCCGCCGCCCCGCCGCCGGGCTCCGGGCAGGGGTCCCCCAGCTCCTCTTAGCTGAGACCTGGGGGATCACGAAACCGACCCCTGGCTCCCAGGCAGAGCTACCTCCGTCTCACCGGACCATTAACGGGACCGCACCTCCGCCGGCCGGGGGGATCCCCAGCGCCGTGGCTGGCGGAAGGAGGCGTGGGGACCCCCGGCCCCGCCGCAATTCCCCCAAAAGGCATTGCACGGCATGCTCTGGGGAGGGCTGTTTCACCCCCCCTCTGACACGCGGGTGTCATTTCCCACGGGACACGCGACCTTAGAAGCCCCTTCCGGGTGCCCGCGGAGTGTGTGTGGGGAGGACAGCTCCGGCGGGGTCTGCGCTGCACGGCGCTATGCGGAGCGGGGCCGCAGCCTCGTGAGCCCGTGCCGGGGCCGGCTCCGGGCGCGGAAATAGAAATGTAACATCTCTGCAGACAAATTAATGTTTGACGGATTTATGGCACGGTTTGGCTTTCAAGATACTCATTTGCTCCTCCGAGCTGTACTCAAGTCCGGGGTGCAGCAGGATAAACACGCACGGGCTGCTCGGCGGAAACCCGCCAGCAGGATCTGCCAGCCAAAGATCAAGACACTTTGTGCATTTGCCACAGATAATGCCCATATTCCGAGTGAGTGATCAGAGAACTCCGGTATTGTTAAGTAAAATGAGAGGAAGGCGAGTGACGTGGGAGCCGAACAATGGCATTTCTGAATCAGTTTGGTTGATTGACATTTGGGGGCTTCATGACCCGAGGGAATAGGACTCATTACCGTGAATACACCAAAACATCAACCGAGATTAGAACTCTGGATCTTTTAAAAATCCTATTTCATTCTAAATTATAGTGGGAAAATACCAATTCTAAGAAAAAAAAATAAAAGAAAGAGGGAAGAAATTACTCCTTTATGCTCCTTTAATTGCTCAAAGCCCCCCAGTAGAGTAAGAAATGGCGTTAAGATTTTAGGCAGCATATAAGAGGAGAAAATTAACTTTACAAACTAAAAGTCTTGCGGCTGACAGAACACCGAATGCGAGGAAATCCATGTCTCTGGGACCGGCAGATCTTGCTCCGAGCTGAGGTGGGAATAGGCGCACGGTGCAGGAATAACTTGATAAGAAGGATACTTGACAGATTGATATGAATAACTAATTATATATTATTTAATTCCATCCTTCGCTACGCGTTTATATCCCAAATCCTCAGGAAAAGGACAAGGAAGGGTGAGGGGAAGAATAAAAGCGTGAGGGAAAATGTGTCCAAATCAGCCTGGAGAGTCAGGAGAGGCAATGGCCAGGGCTGCCATGGATTCTGTTTGGAAGACGTCTATTTTTCACCGAATTTGGAGTAAAAAAATAGTGGGGCAGAGGAGGGCAAAATCTCTGGGTGGTGGTGATGGTCCTGCTCGGCCGGGACCAGCGGTGCAAGGATTTGCCCATCTCCAGAACTATCTCCGGGTGGTGGGACCCAAAACACAGTCCCCGAGTCCAGCACAGGGCCAAGGGATTTTAAATAAATATAGCTGTATTTGCTCCTTCCTATCTTTAAGGAAATAAATGCTGACGGGGCTCCTGCTGCAGGATGGGGCGTTTAACCAGCGAATGTGGCTGCCAGGGAGGGTTCCCCTGCTATCAAATTTTCGATCAGATAACCAGGCTGGGGATTGCTCAGGAGTAGCTGCTTTGCACAATAGAAACAGGGACGGGTTTATTTATCCGGCCATCAGAAATACAAATAATTAGGACCCCGGCAATCCTGCCAAATAAATTTAGTGCTTTCGGGTTAAAATACAGGCACACAAACAAACCCGATGATTATCTAAATGTTCAATTATACATTGAGTAACACGGCCAGTGACTCAAAGCCTCCGCACACGTAGATATCATCATCTTTGTACGGAGACATCTTGGCTTTAATTGATGAGTGCTTCGTCCTCATTATTCTCAAGAAAAACAGGGGTCACGTCACATTAAAATTAAGATTATTGTGATTTTTCAGGCTCTTAAGGAAAAATCGGTCTGATTACATTTCGAACTGGGAGGGAGAGGCGGTGTGGCTCGTCGGGGAGTTCGAACAAAGGCAGGGACCCGATAACGGGCAGGGCTGAAGAGCGGTGGGGAGAGAGCACCCTGCGTTCCGCCACTCCTCTGGAGGTGCCACCCGAGGGGACGGGCGCTCCGGGGTGCCCAGGCAGCACCGCTCCCCGGCCGAGCTCCGCTTGTTGCCGGAGACCGGCAGTGGGATCCACGCGGGATAACCTGAACCTGCGGCGCTCCCTTCCGTCTCACCGCTCCCGGGCACGGCGGGGAGAGACCGCTCGCGAGTCCCGGGAGCGTTCCCGGAGCGGGGGGCGGTGAGGCAGATTGCGCCTCGCCGGGCAGCAGCGGCCTCGGCCCCGCACCTGCGCGGGGGCCCCGTGGGGAGCTCCCGGGGAGCGCAGCGCCCCGGCCGCAGGGGGAACAAAGGCGGCGGTGCGGGGGGCGCCCGCTCGGCCTCGGCGGCGGGTGCCCGGAGAAGAGAGGCCGCCGGCGGAGGGGCCGCCCCGCCGCTGCCCAGGCCGCGGGCCCCGCCCGCCGCGGCCGGAGCCAAACGTAGGCCGGCAGCGCCCCCTGCAGGGCGGCAGCGGCCCATGCAGCG